AAGGCTATCCATGGCCATCCTTCCTATGAGTGGGTCGTTTTCACAATCAAAGCAGTTGAAACATTGATTTATTGTAGCTGACGAGTGCTGGACACACATTCATCATGGCGTTGCATGACATCGGACTTTCCTTTTAGTGAAGGCGAATGGACCGCCAAGATGCGATCTAATCGGTGTCTTTTGACGATAGGCGCCCAGGCCCTTCGTAACTGTCGTGTGAACCTCAGTTGCAACATCCGACCCGACACGACTTCGCCAGACGGTGATTCGGATCACAGTTTATCCAGAACCCAGGGTCGATGTTTCAGAGAGGGTTTGTCATCACTGTCTAATTTTGACTGCGGGTGCGTTTGCACATGCGGTGTTTCGTTTCCTTCAGTTTTGGGTCACATGTCGACGGGGGGGGCTCCCCGTCCTCTCATTTGTTTCATGTATTCTACCCGTCTTACCGTATCCGACGAAACAGCCGGCCTGCCTAGGCTGATCTCCAGTCATAGCCTTAGACATCAACCGACCAGATCGACACGCACCGACACCATTGAGCAGAAAGCCGACGCGAGCATTCACTGACCTGGTCAGGAAACACTTTGTTTTGTTCAAGCTGCGAGCAGCAGCCGGGCCAATCAGCCCTCGATGTGGGTAGACATGCGAATGGGTGCGGTGCACGTCGCCCTTTCTGCACAGCCAGCTCGCGCAGAGCAGGCAGAGAGGCACGATCAGTGCTTCGACCCGTGCCTTCGTAGCATTCTGAGTGGTAGTTAGGGGAATCTCTGTCATTTGGACGGTCCAGGTGGACAGGGGCACGCGTGTAGCGATTGATCCCGATCCAAACAGGACGCCCACGCACATGTTGTGAGCGAACAAATTTGGCGCATTGAGCCACCTTCACAGCGTCCACCGTTGTGACGAATGTGATGGTCCAGAAGACTCAAGTTTCCTTTTCTGACAGTAAGATCTCTGTGATAGGGGATATATTACCTAGGACCGTTTCCACCATTGCTGTTTGACCTCACCATGTCACACATATTGGCTATATTTAGCCATTCACTGTTTCAGGCATGCCAATATTGAACACATCTGTGCTCACATCGGCTCAACGCACTGCGCCACCAGCAGAGGCGGCCGCAGCACGCTAGCGGTCGCTGAACCAAGTGGGGGAGATGGCTCAATTCAGACATGTCGTCGAGGCGGCCAAGGCATCTGGAGCGGCCGAGTGGCTGCCACGTTTGGTGGAGAAGGACCTGACAGACCCACCTACACTCCTTCAACATCCCACAGTGGTTTTGGAGACTGGCATGCCGCCCGAGGTCTGGCGTGTCTTCCAGGACAGTCTCCGACAGCAGGATGGCGCAACGCCACAAAACGCCATCACAGACACGGAAAGCCGGGCTGCCTCACACAGAGGAGCCGCACCCATTGCACCACCTCGAGACCTGGTTGCGTTTCTGACAGCCATTCACGGACCACAGAAGGGGAGAGTGACCAGCCAGCTGGACGCTTGCGACATCTCCGCCGTGGACACGACCAACATCCAGTTATGGACGCGTGATCGCCGAGCCACATACCACATGATTGTAGTGGGCAGTCAGTTTCTCACGACCACCGATGAACTGTGGGCCACTTCTCGGTCACACATACAGCTCGATGGCTCTCGGAACGTAGTGACCTGGACACTCCCCACTGGACCGCCGGAGACACAGGCAATCACCGTTGACGTGTCCTTGGGGTGCAGATGCCCAATCATGGGACAGCGGCTGTGCCCTTACCACAACATGGTGGAGCTGCTGAACCTCACAGATTCGAAAGGAGAGACAGATCGGCCATTCGCCCACATGGGGGCCCAAAACCCCGCCGACCTCCTCAAGAACATCGCCCACATGTTGGAGAGTTCCAGGACCTCAGAGCAGCCAGTCCAGACGGAGCCACCTTCAGGTTGTCTCCGCGCCACAGGCGCACGTTTCTTGAGACGACTAGGTCTCAGCCCAACACTCATCACACAACTCGCTCGTTGGGACAGTGACACGATTTTGGGCGCCTTGGATTGCATCCAGCTTAGCGCCGATGTCGTCCAGCAGAGGACTGGCGACTCTCCGGGTGACAGCGATGCAGAGATAGAGGCCCTGAAAGCCGGCATCCAGGCTGATATCTTGTCAATGGCACACCATTGCCATCAAATGATCCGAGAGACCACAGCCCTCAACCGGGCCTGGTTGGCAACCGCAGAAGAGAAGCAGTAGCGACCTTGAGCACCTGGAAAGTCAGATCCACAGAGCGCGAGACCGCGACAAGTCAAAAAAGGGGAACTGCGCCAAGTCGGTGACACCTATAGGAATTTTATTTGTTTCTGTACTAACGCCAAGATTTTTTAGAACTCACACGGTTGCTCTTGAGCGCAAGAGCCCGGGCAGTTAGAGCTGGGCTACTCAGAATGCAGATCATGCATCATTTGGTCAGCGAAGCTGATCAACCATCAGTTTGGTTTTGTTTCCTTTCTGCTGCAGGTTGCCAGTTGGATTCCGACCGAATCTGCTGCGGCATCACATGTTCTGCCACACACTGTAGTTATGTTCGTGCACACCTGAGACACCCTGTTTCTTTTGGTTGGGCAAAATTCTTTTGCATCACAGAGGCCAGGTTTGTTGTGTGTTTAAACATTACCGGCTCCCCCAGCCGAGCCAGGTGGGGGATGCCGTACTAGTCTATTTTCCCTGACGGCAAGTGACCGTGTCTGTCACTCAATGTCCAGCGACGCACGCCCAGCGTCTGGCTCAGAAACACTCACTAAGTTGTCCCTGCCGGACACTGTGGTGAGCCATGACACCCGTCAGCCCTGAACTCCAGAAGCTGGCTGCTGAGGCTGGTGTGGATCACTCCGTGGTGCAGTACTTGCAGGCGCGAGGCATCGTGTCAATGGGGATCCTGGGGGCCCTGGCCAAATCCTTCGATGAGATTGATGCAGCAGTGGTCCAGCCGTTCATCGCTGGCCACAATATAGCCGGTGTGACACACCAGGCTGCACCTGACACAGAACCCGTGGTGACCGCATCAATCAGGTATCTATGGAAGAAGAGCTGGACGCAGCTCAACACCGTCCAACTTGTCAAGACCACGCCCATCACAGTGAGCCAAGCCCCATCGGCTGCCACAGCGCCCATGGAAATCCCAGCTCAAGAACTTCAAGAACTCGTTCAGCATTACGAGAACCAGATGATTGACGGAGAGAAGCGCTACTTCCCCGTCAAGATGCTGCTCGGCGCAGAAAAAGTGATTGCCAGGGCTTGGCACGAGAATCGCACAGCCTCACAGACCCCCTTGCTGCTCCCAGAAATCCTAGTCCTGCGTCATTTCGACGCATCAGGCGGCACCAATTCGCTCGCAATCCCCTCGACAGAAGATCAGCAGAAATGGTCGCCCAAGGGCGTCCTCAGCATCCTCGATGCCTTGGATGCAGTCATGTGGTGCTGGCTCCTGATCCGCATCGGGAAAGAGCCACACATTCTGGAATACATCCAGTGGTGGCGCCAATTGGTACGCGGCAAGTCCGCCAAGCTGGAACAGATCAAAAGTTACTGGGTGGACTGCGGATGGAAACTCGCCCTCGAGCTTCGCCACGGCCGCAACTTCCGGGAGATCACCCAGGAACTGATGCTGGACCAACACAGGCTCCAGACAGCGCTGCAGAAAGACCCTCCCATCATGCCAAAAGCCCGTCCAGCACAGCCGTCAGCGCCAAAAGCGCCGGGGAACACACAAGAGACGGGCCACAACACACAGGGACAGAAGCGCTGGCGATCACAAGATCACAGCTGGCACTATCCCCAGAAGAAGTAGGCCCAGAAACCTAGCTCCAGACGTGCTGACATGAATTGGCCCAGCATTCGCGAGGTCTGACGAGTCAGCCTACAGAAGGCACACAAAGTGCCTGCATCATTTCAATAGCACAGGAACCGACGGAACCGCCCGCCGGACGAACCAAAGCGGTTGCGGCCTGGAGACTTCCACCTAGAGATCAATGAATGGTATCTCAGTCAGAGTGTGTTCGCAACTTCATCAACACTTCGTTGTTTCATGCTGCTCACACGACGCACTTGCTGGAGGACATCACAAGCATTCGGCGTCTGTTGACCTTTTGGTTTGACTAGCGTCCGCTTATGGACCTTGAAGATGGTTTGGACAGGTCTAGTTTGTGCACTACTGACACATCAGGTTTCCATCAGACTGTTGCCATTGATGAGCGACCCATAAGAAACGGATCGGACCTTTAAGTCGGTTTCTCAAATAACTGCATTTCCTAGCCATGCCCGGCCGGGATGGTGACGTCACCCAGCCGAGCCAGGTGGGGACCCAAGGTTTCCTTGTTTGTCATCCTGTGGAAATTGCCAGATGCCGGCAGTGAGGGCCCATCCTCGGGAAGACACCACAGTACACATCACTGACCTCCAACATTGTGTCTCTAATGATTGGGGATCTCACACAGGGGTCTGATGAATAAGTGTCTTAGTCAGACACACAGCCACGTGATCTACCTGACAGGCACCGTTTCCCAGCCGGGCCAGGTGGGGACTCTTGAGCGTCACTCGAATAGCAGTGACACCCTTGCACACTGCCTGACCTGTGTGCAACCATCCGGTCACAACTGACTAGTGCATAATATTGGTTCCATAGGTTTCTGAGTCTCGCTTGCGCCAGGAAGTTTTCCCAGCCGAGCCAGGTGGGGAACCCTGTGCATTTCATGCCTTCACTAAAGTAGTTGCTAGATCACTGCTCACCGAGCGACCTCTGCTGACGCGGGCATTCGGTCTGGGCACGAATTTTCCTTTACGTTTTCTGTTTCCCCTCCCTCAGGACATGTTGCCCAGCCGAGCCAGGTGGGGAACCCAGGGCATCTCACTAATAATGGCCATGGCACCGTTGATGAAGTGAGTAGGCCCTCACCATCCTGTCACAAATGACTGGTGCATCAGGTGAGGAACCTGATTTCAGCGTATTAAGTATCATATGAAACCAGCAGACATCGTGTTGACGTGACACTCACGCCACAGGATATATGGTTTCCCAGCCGAGCCAGGTGGGAACCCAAGGCCATTCATACGAACATGTGGTGGACAGTGCCGAACACTGGTCCTCCCACGTAGTTTCACACTAGGCAGTGGTCAACACCGACTACACGTCGGAACCGTCTACATGCCCTTCATGTTGCAGCCAAACCAACACTAGTGCCCCTGATTACAGAGTGTCAAACGTTTCAACTCGCAGGAACCTTCTCCAGATGCGCCAGGTGGGGCACCTAAGGCCCTTCGCGGTGCGCACAGACATTGATCGACACCACTGCGAAGTTCACAGAGACTTCGAGGTGTTACAGACCTTGTATTAGCCCACCGGTAAGTGTCCGATGGTATGCGTTGGTTTCCCCCCTTTGGTTCACGGTTGGTTTGTGATCCATCAAGCAGTCGGACCACAACTGCCACTTTTGTTTTTTTTTGAAAGAAATGTCAATCAATTTATCAACACTTGTTCCCAACTGTGCCAAGTCGAATATGTTGGGTTGCATTTACCCATCTGTGGTCCCTGACAACCCATTCAAGTCACTACGACTGCTCAAACCAGGCACGTCCGGAAGGGCTGCGAGACTACACATGGTGGCCTTTGAGTGCTCATTGGCCACACAGCGTCACATCACGAGGAGTGGGCTGCACCAGAGTGGCCAAACATGGGTCTAGCCAACAGAATATGGGCATTGCAGCCACAGCCGCATCATCCCTGTGGCTACCTGATAGTGGGAATCCTGGGGTCCCCACCACCTGATCTAGTTTGTGAGCGGGGAACCGCATCGACATGACGTCGCTGGAGTAGCAGAACCCAACGCGAATTTCTGGAAGACCACACAAGATCTGCCACAGTCCCAACAGTCCTCTAGCGCCTCACATTGAATCCGCACGCACAGCGACTCCAAGGTGGAAAAGCTAATGCTGACCATCCTCCCACACACACCCCCCTGCACTCATTGCCTTTTGGATGTGACGAGTATTTCTTTGCTGCACAGTGCGAAAATATGGCCGCCACGAGTCGCTCTACTATGGGTTGGATTTGACCAAAACAGCATCAACAGGCTGTTCTGGGTGCGACCGACAGGCAGCGAATCATCCAAAAGGAAGGCCTAGTGCAGACGATCAGTGTGGACGGAATGAGAGTGAGAGGCTGAAATGTTTTGTAGCACAAGTATTGTGCGTAGGAACATGAGAAGACTCGATGCCGAATGCCGAAGGTGTGAGGCTCGAGAAATTTCAAACCCACAGCCACCCACCCCAGCTGCCAGTTGCACAGAGCGGCCTGCCGGTGCGGGTTGGATTTGACCAAAACAGCATCAACAGGCTGTTCTGGGTGCGACCGACAGGCAGCGAATCATCCAAAAGGAAGGCCTAGTGCAGACGATCAGTGTGGACGGAATGAGAGTGAGAGGCTGAAATGTTTCTATCTGTCTGTCTCTGTCTGTCTCTGTCTGTCTCTATCTGTCTCTGTCTGTCCCTTGAGCATTCTTCAGGGCAGGCCTTCTCCAGCGCGCTCCCCCAGCATCCGGCTGGGGTCGGCGGATAACTATTGATTCATTGACCAATATTAGGGGAATGGATTGCAGTTATTATAAACATACTAGTGAACCATTATATAACCATCGTAACCATTTTAAACTCGTTGTTGATAGTTAACATACCCATTCACCATGTTGATTGGTTAAGTATCCATCAGCGGATAGGCTTATGTGGATATAGTTCACAAATGATGGTGGATATGTTCTGAACTTGGACTTGTTCTAGCTAATTTATTGGGGATTGTATGGGATTGTGATAACCCATCGTACGGAAAGCGTTTTCAACCAACTACTAGTTCATGAGATGGGATAGGGGTATGTTTAATGGGACAAGTAGCCCAAATTCAAAGAACCTCAACAGATTTCTCATTAAAAAAACTAGAAGGTGAAATGATGGAATTTAATGCATGATAATTCAAAGAAAGACACATTGTGTCATATGGTGGCCATCTTATTTTTACCCAGAAAGTCAAAGCTGAAACATCAGGCGTCATTGCGGAAAACCCAACTCTCCCCATAAAGATGGCCATACCCTTTTTCATCAAACATAGAAATGGAGGGAACTCCCCCCATGTATCGATGATTTTCCCATTCAAACCTCTAATTATTTATAATCATCTACAGTATCTGTATCTGTATCTATATCATTCTATATCTATATTAGTCATCAAGTTATATAGTCTATATTTATATGGGTATGGGTCAATACCTATAGATACATTTTTAGTGGGTTATTCACATCCATAAATCCCAGCTATGACTTGGGGTTCACTAGGTACCAGGGTTTTGACCCATCCCCATATAGAGGGGATGTTCCATTGCCGCGTTTGATTCCCTGAGGGCTTACATGGTACCAAAGCCATGACCGCTTCGCGCAAGTTTTCGTTCAGGCAACGGCTCGAGCGAGACGGCGCTGGTGCAGAGGCACGAATGGCAAACCATCAAAGATAGGGATATAAGCAATATGTATATATCTGGGTAAATTATAACGACCTCACTACGACCTCACTGGAATCATGGTTAGTAAGGGAAATAATCCCCAAATGGCCTTAATTCAGGTTAGTGAAATATTATAATTTACCCAGATATATGTATATATTTATTAAGATAGATATATTTAACCATCGAAAAAATGACAAGTAGGGATGAAAGCAATCTTGGAAATGGGGTTTGTGAAAAAAGTGGAGGTCGGTTGAACTCAATTCATAGTTTTTTTCATAGAGGAAAATGAGAAAAAAACATGTCCCCGATGTGGAGGCCCCAAGCGGCGATCTCGAAGTTTTGTCACTTTTTGTTTTCACCAGGAATTTTGGCCCATCCCCCATATCAAACATATGGAGGTTTCCTAAAATGTGGGTACCCCAAAATCATCCACTTTAATAGGATTTTCCATTGTAAATCATCCATTTTGGGGTACCACCATTGATGGAAATCCCCATATCGACCAAAACACGTTTCCGATTCCAAACCACGTCTTTTTCTGTCAGATCTGTCAGGACTGAGGAGGAGCCGGAGTTTGTGAAGGACGAAGATGGTGGCTACTTAGATAAGCACGGGCCTCGTGCTTCTTCCACCGCATCTCGTTTGGGAAAGCTTGAACTTGGCCCTGAGGTCGACCATGATTTACCTGCATTACAGAGGCGTGGCTGGGGACACGTTGCGATATGTTGCGATATCATTCCCCTAAATGATCTATATTGGTTTAGAAAATCAACTTTCCCCTCACCACAACTCACTCGAAATTGGGAGCATACACCATTAGTGTAGTAATGCATCCCATAGACTAACGAACGATTTTTACGAAATCGCCATTAGGAACATCATTGGAAAAGTTCGTACGGGAAAGATCCGAATCATTTTCAATAATCCCATCCCATATTGTTGGTTATACATCCCATTAAAATCCATGACATATCCTCTTAGATGATTAGTTTATTCAGTTTAATTCCAGTTTACAGATGGAATCTGCCATTATGTAAGTCCCCTATGATATTTAACTCCATTGAAATAAGCATGTTTCTCATCAAAAAACGCGAACACATTTTTTCCCCCTAGTTGCTTTAAGAGAAAAACACATGCAGGAATGTTTTTTTGTACAGCTTTGAACATATGTTCATTGCTCCCTTTCAAACTCAGAGTGTTTTTTGTGACACATGTTGATGTGGAACGGCCATTGCCGAGGGTAGGGTAGGGTGGGATCCAGATAATCTGGTTGGTGGTTTGGAACATTTTTTATTTTTCCATTCGGTTGGGAATGTCATCATCCCAACAGACGAACTCATATTTTTCAGAGGGGTTCCAACCACCAACCAGTAATGTTGATGTAAGCAGATGAATTTCGGAGCTTTGTCGGTGTTTCTTTGGGGCTTTGTTCCCGGGTTGGGTTGGAGCCACTGCAGGATGAACCAGGAAGAAGAGAAGAAGAAGTCACCATAGCCTCTGGTAAACATCCAAAAACTATGGAAAATCCACTCATTTTCTAGGTAAATCCACTATTTCTATGGCCATTTTCAATAGCAAACTGTTAAATTACCAGAGGGCAAATCACCATTAATCACCATTAATTATCATTATTAAACACTGTTAACCACTATTAACAGAGGATATTAACCACTATTAATTCTGTCACTAGTTCTTCCCATTTATCCAGACAAATCCATTCCCCACGAGACTTCGTCATTCTGCCCAGTGATTCACCTAGATGAGCCAGTTCTTTCTTTCCGTTGTCACTCACCATGAATCACCATAATTCACCATGAATCACCACAATTCACCAGATCTGTTGTCATTATTTCATAGTATTTATGTCCATAATGATATGCCATTAATCCATACTCATCCATTATTTCCATGATCATTCCCACGAACAGAATGTATAAAATAATGGATTAAATAACGATAATGATTCACCATTTCTCATATGATAATTAGTACACCATTATTCATGATTATTACTACACCATGAATCATAGGCTATATGATATATGTTGTACTGGTTTATTCCCTAGTGTTGATTCATTGCTCCCTGTAATAATAGTTATTGTTGTTCATCCATTACTATTCATCATTAATCCATTATTATTTCATACCACGAATTTATTAGTTGTACTAATCATATGCCATTAATTAATCATATTTACAATGGTATTGGCAAATAATGTATTATATATAATTATACAATAATAATTGTATTGATATGTATTGGTGATCTACAATGGTATTAATCATGTGATAATCATTATTTTTGTGATGATAAACCCATTCACCATTAATAGTTCACCACTATCATTCACCATTGTTATTTACAATTATTATTTCATCCACCATTAATTCAAATCATTACTTACCAGATTCATCATGAATTAATCATTCACCATTAATCATTTGAATATACCATTAATCATGGTGAATGATTCTGTAGTGAATCATCATTAATACCATCAACATTCATGTACATACATTATTACTAATCATCATCCATCATGAATGAATCATTCATCATGAATGAATCATTCATCATGAATGAATCATTCATCATGAATGAATCATTCACCATTAATCATTCACCATTAATCACTCACCATTATTATTCATCATTCACGATTATGATCGATTAATCATCAACCATTAACCATGTGATGGTGTATTACACTTTTAATTATCACTATTACGAATGATTATTCATTACTATTATCATTCGCCACTATTCATCATGAATTAGTTCACGATTATTGTATAGTAATAATGTTTTTTTTTTTAAAAAAAAAACACCACTATTTATGAGGCTGAATGATAAAATTCCACTATAATCATTCATCCATTACTATTCACCATTAGTTCATTATTATCATGAACATGATTATTATCATCATTCACCACTATTCGTCATGAGCTAATCATTCACCATTAATCATTCAGGTCACCATTAATCATTCACCATTAATCATGATGAATGATTCTGTGGTGAATCATCATTAATACCATCAGTATTCATCTACATACACTATTACTAATCATCATTCATCATGAATGAATCATTCACCAGTAATCATTCACCATTAATCATTCATCATTATGATCGATTATGGATCAATCACTCACCGTTAGCCATGTGATGGTGTATTACACATATATAACTATCACTATTACTAATCATCATTCATTACTAATATCATTCACCACTTTTCATCATGAATTAATTCACGATTATTGGATAGTAATATCACTCTTATCATTATAATTCATCCATAGTAATAATTCACTACCATCATCATTCATGTACATATATTACTGTATTTCAATTCCACTATAATCATTACAATTCACCACTATTCACTACTATAATTCATTACTATTACGAATCATGATTACTAATCATTATCATTAATAGTAATTAATCGTGATTACTACTAGTTAATTAATAATTAATCATTATCATTATTCTAATCATTAATAAATCAATAAATCATTATCAATGGTATTAGTAATTATCAATAAATGATTACACCATTATCATAACTAATAATAAATACCATGATCAATTAAGATCATTTAATGCTAATCATTAATAGCATATTACCATATTATAATTATCATATTATCATTAATAATAAATCATTATCATTAATACCATTATCATTTATACCATATTACCATATTATCATTAATAATCAATAATAAATAATTGGTATAATCAATAATTAATAATCCATAATAATTGGTGTAATCAATAATAATCTATAATAAATTGGAATACCGTTAATAATCAATTATAAATCACCATGATTATCATCTTAAATAATTAATATATCACCATATTACCATTAATTATCAATAATTAATAATCATCATTATCATATTACCATTAATAATCAATCATAAATCATTATCAATACCATGGTATTGATTATTATTATTATTGATAATCATCATGGTATATCATATTACCATTAATAATCAATAATAAATCATTATCGATACCATGGTATTGATTATTATTATTATTGATAATCATCATGGTATATCATATTTCCATTAATAGTCAATAATAAATCATTATCATATTAATTACCATATTACCATAAATACTACTAATAATCATGATCAATACCATGATGATTCCATCACCAGGCGTGCGCTGCATCAGCCTTTGGCCGAAGCCTGAGAACCGCGAGGCCACGCCCCACGTGGCGGCCACCGTCTCCAAGGACGGCACGCCCGTCGAGACGCATCCCGAAACGCGTTTTGGGGATGAAAACCCTCGGGAAAATGGTGATTTTATGGGAAAAACACCAGAAACATGGTGATTTTGGGGGGATTCACCAAGGGAACTGGTGATTTTACATGATGATGGGGATTAAAGTTGATTAAAACCTAGGAAATTGGATGGTTGAGCGTTTTTGTATGTTTTTGTTGCTTTGCTGCTTTGTTTTTTAATGTGAACATTTGTGAATGAAGAAAATGGACCAAACATGTTGATTCCCTGAAAAATGGATGCTTTCCTACTTGGAAACCGACCAATGTCGTGGCTTTCCGCCATCCCCGGCTCGGTCCCTCGCACAGGACGTCCTGGCTGTGTCGAAGATTGGAATCGATGGAGTCAGTCTACAGGTTCCAGCCGTATGGCAGAAACCCGACCCTCACGACTCTCGGCTAGAAGGGCCGGTTGCCGGTCAAAACTGTTGCGGCTGGTGGTGTTATATTGGGGTAAACATACAAAAAGATGTGGAAAAACACGAAAAACATGTTTTTTTAAGGAAAATGATCTACAAATGGTGGATGTTCCACATCTATGTTAGCTTTCTGGAGGGTACAAGGTGTTTCTGGTGTTAAAAAAAATGTGACTGATAGTTATCCGGTGATGAGAAGCTAGGGCAACGCCAAAAACCACGCGAACCGTGAAAGTGAGTCGATCTTTAAGTAGTGCGGTAGGGGGAAACCAACCATTTTCATCCATTTCCCAGAAATGGATGATGGTAACTGGTAACAGCAATAGTTTCTGTACCCATTGACATTTGGGCCCCTCCAGCATTTTGGGCCCCACTTCGGCGCTGAGGAAGGTGTGGGTGACGTCAACGTGGGCAGCCCAGAGTCAGAAAGTCTGAGACGTCGAAATTTCAGGATCCAGTTGTCGTGTTTTTCTTTTTCATGGTGATGATGTTTGATAATCATACATAATCATAAATAATCACACACAATCATACGTATATATAATAATATATAACAATAATAATGCTAATAATAAGCAATAATAATACTAACAATAAACAATAATAATAAACAATAATAATAATACTAATAATAATAAATAATAACAATAATAATTCAATGCTACACATACATCTATTGTAGTGGTTGCACGTGGTTGCTGGTTTATAACGGCCAGTAAAGGACTTCCTTGGCCACGGCGAACGGCGCGATCAGGCCATGCAGCACGAGTCCATGAACAAACTTTGGACCGGTGACAACGGTGGAATTTTGCGCTGCTGGGATGTACACCTGGCAGAATTGAAGGAAGTTTGCGAAAGGCTTGGGAAGGTATCAAAACATATCAAAACCATTTCAAAGCTACATAATCCTACATGTATAATCACGTTTATATATATATATACAATTATATTCACAACTATTTATATGTTTTAGATACTTTATTGATCTTTACAATATTACTTAATCTATTTACACATATTGGCGGGGCACAAATGTGATCCAGCTCCCGCCAGGTCAACGCCGCGGGAAAGGGAGTGGTTTGCGACTTCAACAGTGTGCGGCTTGGAACCGTGACCACATGGAGTCTGAAGATGGGGAATATCATCTGGTTGGTGGTTTGGAACATGATTTTTTTTCCCACATATTGGGAATAATAGTCCCAACTGACGAACTCATATTTTTCAGAGGGGTAGGGCTCAACCACCAACCAGTCATCTATCAACGGGGATTTACCCCCCCAAAACCAACATACTGTGGATCCAAGCCATCGGAAAAGCCCAGCGTTTCCCCAGGAACATATGTTAGTTTAACCTAGGGCAATGGGAACAAACATGGGATTTAGATGAATATAAGTCACCTTTTTTGATGTTTGGGGTCTGAAAATATCTGAAAATGGGGTACATCTTAGCACTTTGAGTATCGTATTTAGGGGGTCCTATTTTCAGACACCCACATCTGTCAGTGTAAGCTGATGCCATCCAACATATTACATACAGCGGGTTTTGGTGTTAATATTCAGACATGGGCAACCTTTTCCAAACATAGCTTGAAATCCCAAATACTAAAACGCAGTGATAAGATATGTTGCAAGGATCAGTTGGTATACAAGTTGGATGTATATATATATATACATATATATATATGGAGGTTTCCTAAAATGGGGATGCCCCAATAGCTGGATGATTTATGATAGAAAAGCCCTTATCGAAATGGGATGATTTGGGGGTACCACCGGCGCATTGCTTCGAGGCCAGTCAGCTGGTTGGCTTTCAGGCCTGGCTCTGTGGCCTGAACCCGGAGTGATGGTTGGCCGCTGAGTGAATTTCTGGGATTTGCAGGATCTATCAACAAGCATCATGGGGCCAACCGAAAAATAAATAGTCCTGGGGAACCATGAGTATCCATTATTATCCATTAATAATCATCTTGATATATAATTATCCTATTAAGTAATTAATGGGAAAACAAGGTGCCGGGCATCTGAGAGGCTCGCGACAGTCGTCACTTTTCAAATTTTAGTATTGTCAGCAATATCAACATCATCATTATCATGATCATCATCATCATCATTATTATCATTATCATCATCATTTTCTTCATCAACATCATCAACATCATCAACATCAACATCATCATCATCATCATCATAATCATGCGGTGAGAACATGCAGCAGCGTAGAATGATGCATATGTAGAAGTGCAGGAGAATCTACATCGTACCATGACGCGTGTGTAGAAGTGCAAGAGAACCTACAGCAGCGTAGCATGACGTATGTGTGGAAGTGCAAGAGAGCCTACAGCAGCGTAGCATGACACATGTGTGGAAGTGCAAGAGTACCTACAGCGTAGCCTGACGTATGTGTGGAAGTGCAAGAGAACCTACAGCGTAGCATGAACCTACAGCGCAGCATGACGTATGTATGGAAGTGCAAAAGAATTTGCAGAAGCGTAGCATGACGTATGTGCGGATGTGAATGAAATGCAAGAGAGCGTACAGATATATTGCATCACATATGCGTGGAAGTGTAAATGACATTATTATCCCACCCCACCCCACCCCACCCCACACAATGTTATTTTCATAGTAGAATGCAAAAAATGATAACAGTCGCGAGCCTCTCAGATGCCCGGCACTGAAAAGGAGTCCCATAGATAAATTAAATGATGGTTTAACGGGACTGAATGGGTTTTTTCATGGGATTTCATGGAAAATATAATGGAATAGTATAATGACAACAATGACAATAAGGACCAAAATGATAGGATCGAACCTGATCTAGCCACGAAACACTAGGGACTATTAGGGACAATGATGGATAATGGAAATTCATCATCAACAATAGGTACCCTTCCGGTGATCAAACGCGGCAATGGTGACACCCTCTTTTTTTGGATCTGTTAATGGGAAAATTACCTATAAATGATGGAATATCCAGCAAACCATGTTTGATTACAGGAGGTTCTTGATGTTTTACTCCCTAGTTTTCATGGAGATTTTGTTTTTATTTGTTTTAATGATTTTATAACTGAACATAAGAATCACCTCCTGAGAGTTTACTTGGTCTACTCCCCACTTTTCATAATAATTTCCAATTCTTTGAGTCACGGCCCATGTATGGATCATTGGCGAGGCGATTTCTGTTTTGTTTTGACCTGGGGGAGACTGAGGTCTGCTCTCACTCCAGCGGCATGGGCTTTATTGACACAAAAGCAGGCTAGCACGGCATGCTGCAGCAAGGAGTTGATTCCCTGAAAAAGGCTAGATGAGGTTAGATGAACATCAACATTTTTTTGGAACAAATCGTTCAGGTTCGGGATGTTGTTACAACATGAAACAACAATGTACCGCAATGGCCCAATCCCCAAATGAACAGACATATGTAAAGATATATGGGGATGGGTCAAAACCTATGACATCCTACCGCGGCGCCATCAGGGAAGGTCATTCGACAGCAATACACGAAGGAACCGGTCGGCAAGGCAAGCCGCGCGGCATGGCCGGCATGATAAGCTGAGGGTTGGAACAATGAATTGGAACCAACCTGGGGAATACCAAGATGGGATAAACGGGATTATGAATAAATGGGATAAATGAGACCAAGAAGGGCATTTTTTCGCCAAAAACTGGGCTCAAGTCTTCTTGGATGTGGCACTGATCCGTGGTAAACTAAGCTCTATATGGGGGTTTCCAGAAATGGGGATACCCCAAATAGATAGATGGTTCATAATAGAAAATCCAATGAACATTGATGATTTAGGGGTAATACACTATGAATATGGCGCATTTTGTTCGATGATTCATGCTGATTTCCCAATTAAAAGTGGTGATGTCCCAGTTTTGCTACGTTGAATCACCAGAGGGTAACCGGGTAACTGGGTCACACTATGGTTCTTAACCACGGATCCTATCGATAGGATGCCCAGTCGTCAAGTCTCGCCGTCTCGCCCAAGCGAGGTAACCCTGCTGAACGGAACCAGCCCCATGCTCTTTGCCGGCATCGGCGGCGAGCTGATGCAGTGCGCTGCATCAATGGATTGGTTGAGTTGGGAACATCTTCATCCGAAACCATGGGGTTTTTACCGCCAAATATAGAGTTTTCCCAGTACTGTAGATTTCCCATCATCCAGTTCAGTTCTGTTGTTTGATGAATGACGTACTTATGTACCTCCAAAATCTCGTCATCGACTACTTCTATACGCGCAGAATTGGGACCATGTTTGGATCTCGAAAAGAGATTCTCCAAACAAAACTGCCAACTTTTCTTTTGTTCTCCTGGCGCCAAGTTTACTCGGCACCCATTTGAATGCCATCGTCTGAAAAGGTACGACACTCGGTGCTTTGCAGATGGGCAGGACAAGCCCAAGGCATGTCCTGACACCTCACCTTTAGCCGTGAAAGGTGGACATGTGGAAATTATGGATGGGTACCCCATGGTACCCCCAACATCTTTTCCCATCTTTTTCTGGTTGGTGGTTTGGAACATTCTTTATTTTTCCATAATATATGGGATAATCCTTCCCATTGACTTTCATATTTTTCAGAGGGGTAGGTCAACCACCAACCAGTTTTCCAACTTTTCCATTTTTGTTGGTTGGCAAGTCTTGGGGTCTCTATGGTTGTCACGTTTCTCGACCCATTTGGGTCCCGTTTTCCCACTGCTGGGCTCCCACTGGATCCGTTCTTCATATTGGATCAGCTTGTCATACAGGAAGCAACAAAATGATCTAAGTTAAAAAAGTGCCGTAAAGCCAATAATAAATCAATAAACCATCACCTTTTTTTACCAGAGAATGGTGATAGAAGCCCTGCCAAATTTGAGGTTTATTCTTGGGTTTACTGCATTCTTATTTTTTCAAATTATCATATTGTTGTTTATAAGTTACCTATCCCATGATAATCCATTACATCCCATGATGCCTGTGTTTTATTGGTGGTAAGAAAATTCCCAATTTATAGATATTGGTGGTTCTGATTTATGAATCAATATAAGTTGTGTATTCCACTATACTATAATCCATCATATTCCACCATCCATTATCTCCCATAGGTAAAACATTTTCTGGATTCTATATCCATTATATCAAATTATGTCCATGCATAATATATATATATATAATGTCAACCCTGGATTAATAAACCTCTAGATTGTTTAATTGGGAGGGTACCATTTAAGTATTAGATTATGACTATATATTGGAGGAGTACCCCCCCAATCAATAAACAATGGTTTATTAATCCGGGGTTGACATTATATATATATAATTATATATATAATCCATATATAATCCATATATCTCCCTGTGTTTCCCCATTAAAACCCACCAGGGCCTGGCCATGGAATCCATGGAAGGCCATTGCATCGTGGTCCTTGGGCTCTCCCATCACATCCCTGCACTGCACGGAGACGGGGAAGGGGCTCGGGGCACCCAGAGCAGTATAGTATATGTATATGGATGATAGAGGAATACTGGAATAATAGATAGTGGATATGATAGAGGAATACTGGAATAATGAATATAGTATATAGCAGTATAGTAATGGATTATAGTATAGTGATAGTGGAATACTGGAATACCTCACTTTTTTTGGGAGATCCGGGTAGGGATCAAAGGTAGGCTTTGAAGATGCTTGGTCATGTTGGTCCCGGCTGGCTGATCTTACGCCCGAGGCACTTGCTGGTGGCTGCTGGCTGTATGAATGGCAAGGTTGCAGCCTTTGATTCCACATAGTGACTATCCACCTTGGTCTTGAAGATAGCTTAAGGGAAGGGCTCCCCCGGTTCTAAAATGCAAAATACAACACCATCTAACTAGAGATATATCCATCACAAATCCTACTTAGGCTATAGTTATACACCAATTTAGTTATCTATGGGGGCGCCAAACGGGCCAACATGGATGAGTCATTCGTAGCTTCGTCGAACCACATCCTCCTTTTGATAGACCCCGGCTGGGGCGAACTGGAAACAATTGCTGCTTCCAGTGAAAAAGAGAGCAACTCGTCAAGTCGAAGAAAAGCTGCGAAACGAAAGGAAGAATCCAAGACATCCAAGATCACATGGGACTTGGACGATCATGATTGGTGTTTGGGTTTGTCTGAAAATAGTGTACCCATGTGTACCCCTACACCCAATGGTTAATGATCATTATCCCTACTAAATGGCTATAATTGGGGGTATACCCCATTTTCAGACATACCCGTTTGTGTGTATATTTGCTCATCTTCCTGATGGCTTGAAACTCTTTTTGTTTTCAAAGGCACGAAGAACCCATGGATTCCGAACCATGAATCGCCTCAGAGTCAACCACACCACCCAAGAGAACACCAACCCAAACAGACCATGGCAACCAGCACTGTAAAAGATGAGACAACCCAGACCTCCCAGCAGCAAAGATCATATCCCCAAAGCCTATTGGACTGCCGGAAGCGCCCGCGCCGCGATCGCCGGTCGAAAACTCAGGATTTTCCGAATCGGGGGATGAACATTTAGCATACGCAATAGCATAGTCAATAGATGTCAATAGTATGTTTCACCATCCTATACCATATTGCACCATGCTTACCATGCTGTACAATCGATTTTGGTGTTGAAGCATGTTAAAGCTGGGGCAGCGGGGTGAGCTTACTCATACCCAAATGCACTCAAATGCGCACGTTTCATCACTCTTCCTGCTGGGGTCGAAGATGGTCCGTTTCTATTTCGACGTCTGGCTTGATGGTTTTCAGCAAGTCGATGGGTTTTCCGCTACTATTTCGACACACCTCTAGTAATCGAAGCTGGCAATGGACACACCTCTAGGATCTTCGCCGCTTTTGCCATGGATATTTTCCCCATTAGAAAAGTAATGGATCTCCCATTAGCAGATGAGGGTAACGACTGGTCGTCTCAGGGGTTGCTTTTATGGCGGTGTGGCTCTCAGTGTAAAAACCCGTTGTGAACTCATTTGATGCGCCTTTTAGAGACCGGAAAAAGTACGGTTTCCACAGGTTTGGAGGTTTCTTAAAATAGGGGGACCCCAAAAAACCTTAGAAATTCAACTCTTAACAATGTTTAACAACTAAATCAGTGTATTGTTGGACGACTGGGGGTACCCCCCCATTTTTGAAACAAAACCACATTTCCAAGTTCCTGGCTGTTGAGGATGAGGAGGAAAAGGAAGAGAAGCCTTCAGAGGTGTTTTTTGGGTGTCAATTCAGTCATCGCATCCGAGTACTGCCCACAATATCTCACGATCATCATTTTTTGCTGTACCCTCTGGTAAACTAACATAGCTATGGAAAATCACCATTTTTCATGGGAAAATCCACTATAAATGGTGATTTTCCATAGTTATGTAAACGTTTACCAGAGGGTACAGCAAAAAAGAATACATCCAGTGCATTCCAGCACTGCATCAGGGGTTGGTTTGGATATTTGTTTGGTCATATTTTGGCGAAATGGCCGAAAAATCGAGGTATGCAGAAGCGCAGCCTGGAAATCAATCTGGATCTGGGCAGTGCATGGCAGTGCACCAGACCAAAAGTCTGTTGACTGATGGTTATGTAAGTTATGATGATCAATATATTACTAATATCCAATATTATTGATAAGGGTATTATGATGATCCCAATATTTGATGTGATGCAGATTTTTGGCCCAAGCAGTCCAACTTTGCTGAACCACAGCGCAGGCAGCGGGAAGGGCGACTGAGATCACTTAGAGCTGGCCCACGGAACATTCAACACGCTGCACCCCAACCTTCCGTATGGGTGTGTCTGAAAATGTGGTATACCCATGAAATAGCCATTTTCCATGGGAAACAATGATGGTTAACCAAAAGCATTTAGAAGTACCTTTCTGTTCAGACAAATCCATTGAGCCACGTTTTTCGCCAGATGATGGAATTTAGATTGGAGAGGAACTCACATCATTCGTGCGTAGGCTATTCTGCTTGGTGCGTAGGTCCTGCGTAGGTATATACGTAGGATAATGTAGGAGAGGCTGCGTAGGCAGTCTCGCGTAGGCGCTTGTTTCTGACCTCGAACTCTTGTTTTTCTTGGTGGGTTACAATGATTTTTCATGCAAACTGGATTGTATGTTTCATATGTTTAGCTCGAAGAAAGGGGAGATTAAAGAAACATAAGAAACAACCGCTTTTTCAGAAAATTACCAGTGCCAAGTTTTCGGAAAGCCATTTTCGGTTCGGATTTTCGCGTAGGCTCCGCGTAGGCCCTCGCGTAGGAAATGCGTAGGCCCTACTGTAGGTCATGATTGTGGCCCGTAGCCCATCAAAGTCTCACCGTTTCACTTTTCACTTTTCTAATGTTTCCATGAGTTCATCATGACTGCCGATCACATCATGACAAAGTGCTCCACTCTTGATGAGGCTTCCGCCTTCCTTTCACAAGTCACCCAAAGAATCGTAATCTTCCAATTTTTTCTATTCCTCTTCTGAACCAGAATTGTAACCACATCTCGTCAAGTAAAGAGATCGTTGCAGCAACTTTCGCGGAGGCAACCGCGTAGGCACTTCTTGAAAGGTAACTCTCGCGTAGGCAGTTTTGCATGGGAGGAGTGGTTTGCGTAGGCCCCGCGTAGGTGTCCTAGTTTGTGTATCGCAGTTTAGCAAGGAAATAAAACACAACAATATGTTCCCAAGAGTTCGAGGGACATCAAGGAACAAGTTGCAAGGAGACCCTCCTTTGTTTTTCGGAGGCTAAGCTCGGTCGGTGGCTTTTCTGTCCATTTTCCCGGCCATTTTAGACCTAGGAGATGGCGGTGGAACCTGCCACTGAGACTTTGAAGATCAATGATGCTGGGGCTGAAGCTGAGTTTTTGGTTGTCGTCTTTTGCAATACTTTTGGGGGGTACCGTTTTCAAAAGGCAACATACACTGGTATTTGTGACACACCCATTATGACGCCCAGTTTCCTATGGTTTGGCGCCCCTTCCATGGGAGTGTGATGAAATATCCATGGGCAATTACAATAAATTCGAAACATGTGGTTTATTACCCATAGGATCCATGTATGGTATATATACTAACATTGGGGGTATATTGATGGTAAATGTTACCATATATGGCATACATGGATCCTATGGGTTATGGTTTATTTCATGTTATTTCCAGTATTTGTTGATATGTTGTGTCATTTTTGGAGTGAAAATCTCTGAAAAACGCGGTGGATTTTCGATTTTTCGGATCCCTGGAGGTGTAAACGGTGCCTGGTTGGTTAATGAATCTACGGTTAACGACATTTAAATATGTGGAGGTCCGTAGATTTCAATGTAGTTACCGTATGGTGAAAATCTATGCTTAATTTCTATGGTTAATCTATGGTTAACCTTTCACTTCCCTCGACTCCTAGCAGCATGGGTTGAAGATGATGATGGTTGCAGAATGGATGAAGTTTGACAAGGAACAGCTTGCATGAAATCACCATGAACCCCCTATATTTGGAGTTGCTCAAAACCCCGGTTTCCTGCGGAAAAAAGTCAGACGTACGAAAATTCCCTTAAACATCCTTAAACCAATTCATTGATCGGATTCTTATTGGGTAATTTTAATAATTACCCTCTGGTTATGTCAAAATAGCTATTGAAAATGGCCATTTATAGTGGATTTTCCCATTAAAAATGGTGATTTTCCAGAGGGTATCCCATCCGTTTTAACCGCCCCAAAAGGGCGTCGTGAAATCTCTGGGCGAATCCCCTCCCGTCGATCCGCCATCAGGATGGCACCACCATGCAGATTGCGCGGCTGCCCGACATCGACGAGGGCACCTGGGAAGACGTGAAGAAATACGTGGAAGGCGCGCGGTTCCGCGGACGCAGGGGAGGCAATGGTGATGTTGCAGGTACCTGGTATCATCATTTTGAATGGGATTGACATGCATTTTTTCGATGGGATACTCAAATGTAGTTTTACCAAAAAGTTGATATTCGAAGTATTCAAGTTGGAGTATGCTATCGGATAGCCTCAATTGGAATCCAGCAGGATTTTACTCCAAGAATTGATGTTGTTGGAGTATATCCTATTGGAATCTATTGGATTCAATTGAGTTAATATCCCATATATATCCCATTGACATTAATCGACAACTACTCCATGATTCAACTCGTTGAGGCAACCCAGAGACGGCCAGAGCCCTTCAGAACTTTGCCAAGAATCCGGAAGCCATGCGAGGCGCGGGGGCCACTGGGGCCACTGGCTGTCAAGCTTAAGGATTTGCTAAAGCCTAGGCTGACAAGAAATGGAGGGCTACCAGGTTAGTAGCAGACCTTCATAGATATAATAATTATGTATAATAATTATGTATATATTGTATACATATACCCTCTGGTTGTTTAACATAGCCATGGGAAATAGGCCATAGAAATAGATGCTTTACCGTTCTTAAAAATGGTGGATCTTTCCATGGCAAACTGTTAGTCATAACCAGATGGTACACATTGGCCCGGATCGTGGGAATCGTTTTTTGAATGGGGGGGACGTCAAAAGCCTACATTAAATGGCCATCATTGAATTAGGAAAATGAATGAAGATGATGATAAACCAGTGGATGGAATGATGGAATGGTGATTCCCGGGATTCCCCACGTTTTCCCAAAATTTCAGATCAAGCATTTCTACTCATCCATATGAGCACTAGCAAGCCTGGAGAAACAAAGCCTGACTATTTATTGGGGGTAGCCCCAAAAATAGTGATAGCTGCGCTTATTGACATTGGTACCCACCCCCCCTGAAAAAACTAGGGGTTTAGCGAGATCCTGGGTTTACCCATGAAAACATCCCTTTTGTTGGGAATATACCCACACAGGATAGGTTCCCCTAGTTATAAGTTGGTTTATGGTTGCCCCATTCACATTATAGTTATATCCTCCATAAACGTTAGTTTATAAATGTTTATGAAGCAACTTAGCTAGCATCAATCAACGAGAAAAATCATCAAAAATCCCATGAAATCCACCCGTTTCTTGGCAAAAAGTCACCATTCATAGAATTGGACGATGGGAAAATTTACAGGAAAACTCTATATTTGATGGTAAAAACCATGGTTTCCTGTAGATTTTCCCTTAAACCAATCCAGTGAACCATGTTCCTATGGTTTCCTTCCTGGTACCACCCCCCCCACCTTGCCTCAAATCTCGAGTCGTCAGGCTGGCTCCAGACTCAGGCCATTGCAGAGCACCTCGGAACGAACCCACGACAACGAAGTCACAACGTCATTCTTTTTGGTGGGGATTTGGACAAGTATCCCAAAATGATATTATATACATGTATATATATATATACATGTATGTATGATCAGATATGTGTACAGTGTAGACTATGTCACATGTAGCATATATGTTTGTATATGTGCTGCAGCCATTTTAGTGCTTTCAGCTACCTTCGAGCTGACTGAGTGAAAAGGTGCTGATCAGTGCTCAGGAGTGTTCATCAGATTTAAGAGCCCAAATTCTCTGTTCATGGTAGCGGAGCTGAGGTTCTGATACCCAGCTGTGAATGTGTAGGTGTCAACGCCGAGCTGCATCAGCTCTGGCGCGCCTACCCAGTGCCAACTGGAAAAGGTTGACACTCAAGCTCCTGAAAATCAGGAAACTCCAAAGGTACTTCCATAACCTGGGAGTGCATCTCCAACAGTATCCAAGGGTTCTCTTGAACCAGGTCTCTAAGCACCTGAAGAACGACTAAGGATGGCTCAGCAACAGCAGCCACCTCAGCAACCAGGCACTCCACCGGCACCACCACAAGCACAAGGCAACGGTCCCAACATGTCCCAGATGATCATGCAGATGATGGCCCAATTGACTCAGGGTCAGGCGCAGTTGAATCAGGCAATGACTGAGGCTATGAGCCAGCAGCTTCAGATCAACAAAAATGTTGAGAGATCTGTTGAGTACAAAGACAGATCAGAGTTGAAAGGCATACCAAAACCTGACAAGTTCAATGGAGCATCAGGCACTTGGGATAGTTGGTGGTACAAGTTTAAGACATGGGTTGAAAGTTGCCACAAGAACGCTGTGAAGATTGTGGCACAAGTCGAGTCTCAGTGTGACAAAGAGATCACTGAGTCAAGTCTAGAAGTAGACTTTGATGAAGGCGCCGAGCTAGTTTCAGCTCAGGCTAGACAAGCCCTCATATCATTGACTGAGGGAGAAGCGTTGGAAATTGTCAAGAACACATCTCGTGGTAGCCACTTTGGCCTAGAAGCCATGAGACGACTGTTGTGCAAATATGATCCTCAAAATCCTCAAGCCAATTCAGCCTTGTTGAAAAAGGTTCTGCATCCAAGTCAATGCAGTCTTGATAAGCTTCGAGAAGGGCTTGAGAGTTGGGAGAACTTGAAAAGAAAGTACGAAGACAGGAGAAAGAAACCACTTGAAGATGACATCTGCAGGAGTTGCTTGCAGCAGATGTGTCCCAACAAGTTGCAAGATCATTTGGACTTGCAGGCTTCGAGATTGACCACGTATGACCAGGTGAAAGCTGAAGTTTTGGCCTACCTTGAGAACGTCGAGACCAGGAAAGAAGCAAAGTCAGGAGCCGTTCCCATGGATGTGGATTCCCTTGCTAAGGGTAAGGGAAAAGGAAAACATGATAAAGGGAAAGGCAAAGGTAAGTCCAAAGGTAAAGACAAAGGAAAGAGTCAGTCTTCGTCTTGGTCAAACAATTCATACAACAAGTCTTGGAACAATCAGTCTTGGAACAATCAATCTTGGAATCAGCAGTCTTGGTCTAAACAGAATACCAATGACTCCAAGAGCAAAGGCAAAGGTAAGAAAGGTCAAGACAAAGGTAAAGGAAAAGGGGATCAAGGCAAAGGTCGTAAAGTTGCTAATGTTGAGTCTGACACTTGGGCTCAAGAGCAACAACCTGCAGCCTCATCTGGTGATCAACCTGAACCAGAGATCACTGCGCTGTTTGCCTTGGAAGACACTATGCCACCCAAGTCTGAAGCTCGAGATGAATCTTCTCGTCGTGGTCGAAGCCCAAGACGAGCAAACCTTCAAGCACCTTCAAGGAGCACTGTGACCAGGAGCGCTATCGTCATGGCTCAGAGCGCTTTGGCATCAGCTTCTGGGTCTAACAAGGAGCTGTTTGGCAAGATGATTGCTCAGGCTGAGAGCGCTGTCAAAGAAGCTCAGGACAAAGGGCGTCAAGCAAATCAAGCTCTTAAGGAACGCCAAGAAGCCCTGGACAAGTTGAAGAAAGAGGCAGCCCAGCATCACAAAGAGGCCAAAGAGGCAATGGCCAAAGTGAGGGCAGAAGGCCGTGCTGCTTCAGCACCGGCTGCACCCTCTCGTCGGATGCAAGCCGACCTTGATGCTGGAGTACATCCAAGAGCTGCCAAGAAGAAGGAGAAGGACAGGCAGAGAGCTGCCAGTCATCGAGCAGCCACTGCTGGACAAAGAGCATCCAGCTTCAAGCGCTATGAGTTGGCCACCTTTGGACAGGCCAACCCTGACAAGTGGGACAAGGATGACATGGGAGATCTTCCTGAACCTCCCAAAGCAAGAAAGCTGGAACCTAAGCGCCACAGAGGAGGACGTCATTGGTCTGACAGACGTAGAGCAGATGAAGCAAGGAAGAAGGCCAATAAGGAGAAGATGAAAGAGATGAGCAAGGATGAGATCCCACAATGGATCCATGACAAGTGTGAGATTTCCTCTGAGGAGAGCATTTCCTCTGAAGGATATGAGTTTGTCAGCAGACTTGAAAAGCTGAAAACCGATCCTGAAGTCCTCAGCAAGTTGGACAACGTCTTGAAGGAAGCCTACGAGAAAGCCTATGGTGAAGTTCTTGACCTAGGATCTTCTGATGAGACAGATCCAGACGATTTGCCCTACAACCAGGAGCCAGCACCAGGCATGGAGGATGTGGTCGAGCATTGGCAGAATTCCTTTCGAAGACCCATTCCATTGAAGGAGTTGCATGAGAAGTGCAAAACTGTCTCCAACAAAGGGTATCCCTATGTGAAGTGCCAGTCATGTGGAAAGGCACTCAACTCCATGAGCGTTGCAAGCTTTTGGCAACATGTGGAGAACAAGCAATGCTATCCTCAGTATGCCCTGGAATTTTGGAAGAAAGAACATCGTCAGGTAAAGGCAGAGAGAGAGGCACGAGAAGAAGGAGAATCATCCCAGAAGCGCCCCATGGATGATGCAGAAGCCAAAGATGAGAAGAGGCGCCAAGAGATTGCCAAGGATGAAGAAAGGAAGAAGCGCAAGCAAAGCTTTGAGGAGCACTACGAGCGCTTCAGGCACAAGGGCAAAGATGAAGTGAAGCCCGAGGTGAAGAAGATCCCCAAGAGGCCAGGGGAGAAAGAGAAGGTCGAGGAGAAAGAGAAAGAAGAAAAGAAAGAAGAAGAAGAGGCACCCAGAGCACCCATCGAGCTGAAGTCCAAATCCCCATCGAGAGCGCCTGAGGACAGCCGGGCTGATTCAGCCCAGGCGTCCAAGGGCAGGGGAAAGTTCAGCATGGGCACCAAGAGATTCCTGGAGAAGACGGTGCGTGATGCAGCTAACTACATGGAAAGAAAAGCCAGGAAGAAGAGGGAGAAAACGCCATCTCCCAAGCCCAGGAAGCATTCACCAAGAGGAGGAGTTCGATCTGATTCCAACCTCGACTTCCTGGGAAGTTTGGCATCTCAGGTGGATACCATTGTCTGGGCCACCGTTGACTCAGGGGCAGCAACCAGTTGCCTACCCAAGGAATTGGCACAGTCATTGGAGTTGGCTATGACACCTGTGGATGAGAAGCCGTTCACCAACGCATCAGGGCAGCCAGTCCAGGTGCATGGGGTGTGCAACCCTATAGTGACCATGGGTGAGAAAGGAGGCCCACAAGTCAAAGGTGTGGGACAGTTCCGGGCAATGGATGTTGCAAAGCCATTGCTATCTGTGTCCAAGCTGGTTGAGAAAGGCTGGACAGTGACCTTCGGCCCCAAAGGATCGTTCCTGCAAAGGGGAGCCAAGAAGGTACCAATCACAATGACTGGAGGAGTTTTCAAGATAGCCATGGATTTTCATGGGCAGCCCACAGAAGGGTTGAAGGCGTAAGTCCTGTGGAGACCACAGAGAGCGCAGGTAGTGGAGATGATGAACCGGGCAGTAGTAAGCTAGGTTCTCAAGCGCTACCAACTGCAGCAGCGCCGACGCAGAGAGAAAAAGAAGAGCATTTTGTCAGCCATTATCCTTTTAGGAGTTGGTGTGAACATT